GTGCCTTGAAAAGTATTGAAATGACTTGAAACTTTTGAATTTTATCATATTATGAGTTCAAACTTATGTACATTTTAATAGGATTTCTTTTAATATTCTTTTCTATTGCACGTCTGTGAAATAGAAGTAAAAAAATCAGAAGTGTGGCAGAATTGTGCTGAGTCAATACTCCGTAGAACCACATTTACCTGCAACCACAGCTTCATGTAATTTGAAGACTATCTCTTTCAAGTTTGCATATCTATACAGAAATCTTGCATGTTTTTCTTTGTGAAATAGCTAAGAAAAAAAAAAAGGTTTACACTGAGTGAAGAGCATATGTGAAAAGCAAGTTTGAGGTTTTGCTACAGGTTAGATTTAATTCTGGACTTTAATTAGGTCATTCTGATACAGAGACATGCTCTGCTATTGTAGCACTGACCATAGTGTAAGTGGAAGGTTTGCGCTGTCATTTTTGCTGTGTACCCTACATGAGTAGTAGCAACCTGCTGCCAAGACTTTGTGTGGTTTTCTTTTGATCATAATTTGCTTTAAGCCAACCTTCCATGATAGCAAGATTTATGAAATGCACAAGTTACCTGTGAATAGTTTGTCCCACCTGAGCTGCTCCTCCAGAGTTATCACAGTTCATTGAGATTCATTAAATCCTATGTGTATTTTTTCTTCATTTTCAAAAAAGTTAAGTGTTCTGTCTTGATTCTATACAATAAAAAATATTTATTCTTATTTATAGTTATAACGGGTCAAAATATGAAAAACTCTAATGTGTATTTAGGGGCAGTAAAAGATATTGGATTCTGTGATTGTGTTTAAGGATAAATGCTGCAGTTAGACTTAGAAAATGAATTATGGAAAATGTGATGGATTTGCTCTTATAAAACAAAAGCATCAGTTTATTTACTTAAGCTGATTTTGATTTCTTTTGCAGTTTTACTTGAATGCAACTGCTTCCATACTGTAATTGCCATATTTCTTGTTGAACCCAGGTCACTCCCCACCAAAGAACAAGAGAACATTAAAAACACACAAACACTGAGACTAACAATAACACACAGTCTCTTTTGTAAAAGGAATTAATATGGATTATTCATGTCCACTCTTTTTTTCAAACAATCTTGAGAAGACTGAGAAAATGTTATTTCTGATACAGCACTCCACCCTTTCTGTTTTCGTTCAGTCTTTACATATTGTATTTTGTTGCATCAAGTTGTATTCATATACAGTCCACAGTTAGACTCTTTATTTAAGATCCAGATATATTGGGGATGTTGAAACATGACAGCATGACTTAGAGATATGCTTACTCTATTAATATTTTAAAAATAGACTGTTTGAAACAGCAGCTACTAATAGTGGGAAACCTGTTTGGTGAGGAAAGCGTCACAGAGGGCATACAGTTATTATCCCTAATCACATCATCATTGCCACTGGTCTAGATGACCTCAAGAACAGCTGTCAGGAACAATACAATACAATACAAAGCAATCTACTGCAACAGTGTTAAAACTTAATTAACATGCCTTAATTAAGAGATTGTTGCCTGAGACAGAATTATTCACATACCCCTCCGTTTATAATTAGCTGTACTATGATGGCTGGCTCAGGTTGACGAGCAACTTTTAAACATCAGATGATCTGACACGCTGAAACAGAGAGACGCTACAGCCGTCGAGATGACAGTGTGGGAAATGAGAAGCACCTGGTCATTGTGCTCAGCTGCTCACAGGGCCTCACGGCGAGCTCAGATGCTATATTGGGAGTCTGGATGCATGCACATTGTATGTGAATGTACGTGTGTGTTTCTGCGTGTGTGGGTGTGTGTGTATGTGTTCAGTGACACTGACGGCACAAAATGAGTCAGGAGTGTCAGACTCTGCAACACTCTGAAATCCACCCATGCTTTTTCTTTCTACCGTTCAGGAGAGTTTCACCTCTAACATGCTACCACTTGAACCTTGAGAATGATGTATTGATGACATCAAAGTGAATTGATTTGCTTTGGATTGCCTATAAGCAGGATGACATCATACCCTAAAGATAACCCAAACAAACCTGTCTACTTATATAACCTTAGAGTCTGTCCTTACTCAACCTTGTTAGGCTTGACCCGGATGTCAAATCATTTCATTTCACCTCAAATTAAAGGATGAATGATAATGGCTAGATCTGCTTCTCGGTAAAAGAGAAGCAAAATGTGACTGGAAAAGTAAATTTATGAACCTACTTATATTTTTATATCCATGCCCTTGCCCTGAAGCTAATTTGATCTTGTCATTCCTTCATTTATGCAGCTAGAGAGAGAAAATCCCAACCTGTCTTTCTCATTCTCATCCACTGCCCTTAATTTGAATCTTAAATTGGTTCACACTAAATCTGGCTTTAGTGTGAAAGCCAGATTTTGACTGTGTGTCCTTTAAACTCTCGTCCCTTCTGCAGCAGGTGTTCAATGTTGGTGTTTATATAAACATTACTTACATAAATATTTTCCCCAAAAATCTTTGTGATTATCAATATTCTTTTAAGTAAATGATATGAGATGAACATTTGTTTATGTTTTGGTCATTTCCAAGGTCAAGTGCTTGGAAATGACCTTGGAAAACGCTATTATTTTTTCCAGTCTCTTCTATTCTTGAATCATGAATCCAAACATTAACTAAGGCAAGTGAGGCCTGCAGTGCTGTCCAGAGTTATTTGGCTGACTTGTCAGTCCTGGGAAGATTTTTCCATTTATGGGTAAGTTCTCTCTTTTTTTTTTAGTTCAAGACCTGATAAGTTCTTTTTAGTCAACTTCATGTTGTCAGACAGGAACTATTTATTTAATTTCTTGATTCTGTGAGCCTAGCAATAACCAGGTCTGTGTGTGGCTGATGAAACTAAGCTCCATTTTCCCAAATAATTTAGTTAGAAATAGTTCATTTATAATTTAACAAGCAGATCTGCTACTGTTTTTCACAGACCAGCTTGGTTTGGATGTGGTTTTGTATCAGTTAATGAAATCCTTTGAAAAAAGGAAGAATGAACCCTTTAAAATATTCAGTAAAATGTGACAGTTTTCGGTGAGGAGTAAAATAAAACACGAACACAAACCTTTGCCTTTGAAATGGCTGAAGTAATGTACAGATGTATCACACCAGGTGCAGATGATGAGAACATCATCCACCAGCATTTGAAGGAGGTCCAACATGTCCAAACCTTATATGTTGAGCTGGTGTATTACTGACTGTTTAAATAAACGTGAGGAGCATTCTGAGATTGAAAGAGCTGCCTGAGGTCTTAAGAAATGATACTGTAGCAGTTTGTGACGATAAGAGATTTAAAGGTAGTACAAGTGGAAGACATCCGATTCATCTGGGATGTTGGTGGTCAGAGATGACTACAGGATGCTAAAACTAAACTCCCAAAACATTAGGAGTGTCAATACGAGACCCACAGCTGGCTCTTGCTGATTTCCTTCACTGTCTGAGAAAACATAAAGGCCAGGTAAAGTTTTTTTCAAAGAGAATCTAAAAAAACATTCTGGAATATATATATATATATATATATATATATATATATATATATATATATATATATATATATATATATATATATATATATATATATATATATATATATATCCCTCAAACATCTTCCAGCTGAAAGTAAGGAATGGGCCAAACTTTCTTCAAACTCTTATCAGTCTATAGATCTAGCAATTCATTTAAGTTATTTTAACCAAAGGGGGTAAGACTTGCATTAAGGGATTATGGTGTCTTAACTTTTCCCTCAATTAGAAAATATGTTTTTGTTGAAATATTTGTTTAATGAGTTCATGTTTATGTTCAATTCTTCCTTTTTTCTGTTTCCATGTAGTCAAATCACTTTCCTTCCCAGAAACACAAAAGAGAATATACAACAAGATAACACTGTTCTTTGTTAAGAACTGAATATTTAATATGTCCTTTTTTGACAAAACTTTAGGTTCCCTCGAAAAATATGAATAAATATGAAAAATATGAATAGCAAGATTTATGAAATGCACAAGTTAGTGTGGCATGAAAAAAGATACTCATGAAAAATATGAGTACCTTCTAAATATATTTTTTTCAGTAGTATGACAATGAATTAGGATCACAAGGAATGAAAAAGAAACAAAGAATTAGGTGGAAGTATTTTGTTGCATTCCTTCAAAGAAAAAGACATTTAGAAATAATGTGAAAAATGTCTAAAAAGCTTATCAACATGGAGGAGTCACAAGAGAATGAAGTTACTACAACGTTAAAACAATTCAACACTAAAGATCTGCAACAGTGATGTGTTGTGTAATTGGAATGTTGAATTTTGAATTATTTAATAACAAAGACATTTTTACTGTATTGGCATATAAACATATGCTAATACATGTGCACGGTATTAGTCAGCACATATGTTTTTTGATACGTTGAATCCTGCATGTAAACAGAACAGCAGTTTCAAAAATTCCACTTTTTTCTTTTTTTTTCACTATGAAACTGATATTTTTGTTTTTTCTCCTATACAGAAAGGTTTAGGACGCTCTCCCCCTTAGAAAAGAAAATCAGGGTTAAAATAATGAAAAAGAGGTTAAATGAGATACAGCCGAGGATAAACCAAGAATATTTAATTCAGCCATACATTTACTACCACTTTATTTCCGGTTTGGACGCCCTAACCCTTCCTTATGTAGGCGTGAGGGCTGAGAGAGAAGTGGCATGGGATTCAGCCTAAATTACAGGTAAAAGGCAAACACTCCCAGAAAAGCACTGCAGAGCATGTCAGAGTGTAAATAAGGCTGTGCGAAGTGATGCGTGCCAGGGCGGCGGAAAAAAATAACTAAATAAAAGAGCATAGAAAAAAAGTGGAGTCATGTAATATTGATGCGCTCAGAGTTGTGCAGGTGCCTCTGGGTGAACGCAGGCGCGCGCTCAACACGCCGCATGTGATTTCCAGCTTCAGTCATGTTGGCAGCACGATGCGCGGCGGAGACGCGAGCGGGGCTGTGAAACCGGACCCTCTGCCAGGGATGTCGACGAGCCGGAGTCCCTGAAACCTCCGCCAACCCGGGATGCAGCCTTTATACGGACTGATATGTGTTTTCCTGCGCGAGTGCGGGCTGCCTTTTCCTTCGTTTTTTTTTTTTTTTTTAAATATTGTTTTTTCTTTTTTTCTTTCCCTTCTCCTCCTCCTGCACGCAGCATATAGTGGACCTGGATGCCGTGTGGGCGATGCAGTCACAAGGGATATATTGTGATTTGGCGGAGATGTGTTCGCCACCATTGCATTGATTAAAAACAAGTAAAGGAGGTAACGAGGGATCTAATAAGATATCGCCACCTGTTACCAGAAAATCAGGTAAGCCTCATAAACCCACTGTCGCTTTTAACATTTGCACAACCTTCTAATCACTCACAGTAAGCGGCACGTAGTGCATTGTTATTCTCCCAAAGAGCCATGAAATGAAACATGGATTTAGTCGCACTGTACTTTTTAAAAGGTGAAATGCACCGTAATGTTGCGCACCAAAGATTTATGTACCCATCACCTTTGTGAGCCAGAAGGTAATAAAGCATACCCACGTTTAATAGTTGGACTAGTGGGGTGCGCTGAATGGAAACATCCCAATAAAACGGATTCAAATATATATATTTGATTAAGTGGAGGATACGTGGGCTTGCACAAACCTTTTCATTGCATCAGTGAAGGTATATACAGGCAGCAACTGCAGTTCCTCAAGCCAGTGCAGTGGCAGCAGACCTCTTCCATCCACGCAGCTATTCAGCTGCGTTCAAGTAGCCTGCTCTCTCTGTGCTGGATGCCAATCCAACACAACATCCCCACTTGGGGGTGGAAGCGGTTGGGAGGGGGGTGAGGGAGAATAAGCCAATTTTTATAGCTGTTCACAAATCATTCTTCAGTGCTGTTCCTCTTTTTCTCGATCCTTCCCTGCTTGGAAGAAGCATCAAGGCAATGTCCATCTGTGGAGGGCTTTCAGACAGCAACTGCTGCTGGCCCACTGTGCATTGTTAGCTGCTCAAAAAAAAAAACAAAAAAAAACTTCTAAATCAGACCATTTGTTTTGCTTCCCTTATGGTGGCACAAAATTATTCATAGCCCTTTAACTTTCTCAAATATTATCATGTTACAACCCTGGAGTTCAGTGTCTTTCATTGGGGTTTTAACTGATGAAGCATTACAATTAGACATAATATATGATATAGACTTATATAATTTTTGGAAATACAAATTTAAAAAGTGTGGCTTGGATTTGCATTCTACCCACTGCAAGTCTTTTGCTTAATGATTCCTACCAGTTTTGCATATCTAGAGATAGAAATCTGTCCATATTTGTTTTTGCAAATTAGTTCAAATTTAGACAGAATGGAGGATGATAATCTGTGAACAGCAGTTTTCAAATCCTGCCACTAATTTTCAATCGGAATCAAGTTTGGACTGTTTCTTGACCATTCAAACATAAAGATATGTTCTGATCTTAACTATGCTATAGCACCTCTGATCATATTTTCAGCGTCGTCGTCCTGCAGAGAGGTGAACTTAGTCTTTTTCGCTGTAATTTGGAGTTTTTATTCCAGGACTGTCCTGTATTTAGCTCCATCTATCTTCCCATCAAACTTAAGCATGCAGTTTCCCTGGCAGCTGAAGAAAAGCATCCCGACAACATGATGCCATCAGCACTGTCTTCATGATCAAACCATGACAGTGTTTGTTCACCAAACCTTTAAATCCTTCACAAAGGGGAACTGCATTGGTCTTCTTCAGATAATTAGTTGTGCTGGCTTTTATTTAGATATATCAAAGTAAAGGAGCCAAATCAAATGCAATGTGGCTGCCACACTCTTCAGATTTTGTTTTTTGCTGTAAAACCTTTTTATAACATGTTTCATTTTCCATCCACTTCTCATTTATATTCTAGTTTGTGTTGGTCTATCACATAAAATATCAATAAAATGCACTGAAGTTAGTCGTTTTAAAATGCAAAGTTAAATGGCTTGATGGATCTGAATATTTTTGCAAGATACTACACAACAGACTACTCTTGCAGTTAGTATGTATTTGTTTAACATAATTAAAGGTAATTAAAGGTAAAGGAGTCCTGCTCAGTGTGTCTAGGTTGAACCTACCCTGAAAAGACGTGTTCAGAGATCAGGTCCTTTCGGGTTTGATGTGCTTCAAGGACCCATCCACTGTCTAAGTATAGATACTAATTTGTCACTGACAGTTTTATTTCATAACCCCCATTACATTTTTTCTGCTAATATCCAAAATCAAAGAGCATTTTGACCAAGTGACAGGGATGTGCCGTCTCAAGATGGAGAAAAAAGATAAAGGGAACAGGTGAAAAGCTTGTCACTCTTGTCTGAGCTGCACATCAGGCCGCGAGACAACTTTGTTTCGGAATCCATCTTTGCTATATTGCACTCAAATTGACACAGGCATGATATAAAGTCAATTCTGAAAAAAAAACAAAAAAAAAAAAAAACAGCTTCTTTGTACTCATCTGTTTTTTGTTGTCCTTTTCCTCCAGTAAAAAAAAAAAATCCTTCCTAATTATCCTCTAATATGTAAGCAGGAACAGTAGTCCGAAAGGATCACTTGAAGCAGGGAATGAGTGCATTGACATTAATTTTGTATGTTAACACATTGAAAGTGCTGTTGCACTACCCCAGCAACACCTAGTCACTTGATATGTAATCGAGCTGCTCTAAATATTCAAGGGTTACTCTTTTTTCCTTTGAATAAAGCATAAGTGACCTTTTTAATGCTACATGTCCTGTTCTCAGAATTATTTTGATCTTAAAAGCGAGCACTGTACTGAATAATGTATCATGAAATAACTTTCATTTTGACCTTTCGCCTCCGGATATTGTTTGCTTTCCTGCTCACGTTAGCAGTGCAGCTGATTTTTCATAACTAAGTCTTAGTTTAGCAACTCTTCTCAAAACAATAAAATAATATAAGTATATTATTTTACATTTCAAGCTGCTATTAGGTTATTGTATCATACTTCCTACATGAAAGCTGTCCGGTGATTTGTAAACAAGAGATCATAAAGGTTAACTATATTATTTCTTCATCATAAGATGGATTAAATCAAAGTTCTGAATGGGAAACAGTTTTTGTCCTGCAAGATAGTTCTAAGTTTAAAATATGAATTTGCAAAACACAAGCTAGTGGATAGTTTTCTTTCATTAAGATGAAATGATGTTGGTAAATGTTTTAAATCTCTGAATCTCTTAGGGAGGAAAAACTCAATCTTATCTCTCACTCCCTTTCACTCATTAGCTTGATAATATGATGCAGCTACACTAGGCTTTGGTTTGCATAGAATGAGTCGGTCCCCGTGTGAAAGTGTCATCAGCATTGAACACTCAGAAAGCTTTCCTATAAGCTAAGAAGCTGGATCCGACAAAGTGGACTGGGATTAATCTCCCTGTTGGGGGAGATCAATCTGTGGTTGAGATTATTGTGTGGTTCACATTCTGTGCTAGGCTAAGTTGATTGTGTTTGAGTAGAGCTGATTTTACCCATCTTCTTTATTTTCTTTTCTTTTTTCTTTTGTCACTTTTTCAAGCACATAATTTTTGTCTCAGTAGCCTGGTTGTAAGTCCAAAACAAAAGACTTAAAGACGTCTAGTCCAGGATCAAAAAAGAAAGAAAACAAAATGATTGAAAATTAAATAAACAAATAATGTTAACAATAAGTACTATATAAGTCTTTCATTGGGCACGGCAGTGGTACAGGGGTAAATTATGTGACACATATATATGGAGGCCTTACTCATCAATGAGGCTGTTACAGGTTCAAGTCCCAGTCTGATGACCTTTGACATCTGTCTTCCTCCTCTCTCATAACCCACTTTCCTATCAGACCATTGTTGGCCCTGTGAGCTGGAGAAAATCTTTTAAAAATTTATTATAATAATAATTCTTCCATCAAATAAGTAAATGTGTCCATGAGATGAAACTTAAATAGATGAGAAAAACAAAAATGATGGGGAGCTTATTTTGTCAATCTCTATTTAATTTATTTTCTTTTTTCGCAAATTAAAGATTTAATGTATTTAAATGAGAACTTACTCATTTCATAATTGTTTTATTTTCGGAGACTTTTATTTTGTAAAGCTGCTTTATGTGCTTTAACTCTATTTCTATTTTTCTCTGTGAATGAAACTAGCTGAGAGAGCAAACTACAGTGCATCTAGTGTAACGTGTGAGCTTTGAGGTTCTACTGGGACAATAAAGGAGGTGGAATATCTTTGGAGTACGGGAACCCATCTCTGCTTAAACAAAGGTTTTTCACAACCTGCTCAAATCAACCCAGTCAAGGCAGTGGCTACCCCGGATGCCACTTGTTAAAAAAGAAAAACAAAACTTGTGGCACTTCCCTGCTTACAAAAGGGAAGCAAGGCCTGTCGTTCTGAAGCAGGGTAGCAAATTCTGTCAGGGATAGTTACTTTCGCAAGACACCAGGAGGCAAGTTGAACCCCCGATGTCTTGCACGTTTCACCCTCATGCAGATGTGCTGAAGTTTGTTGTTAACTGACGCTATATAAATAAACTGAATCGAACTGAATTGAAGTTCAGTGTCTCAGCTCACTTCACTCTGACCAGCAGAGCCCCATCCCACAGAAAAAAAAAAAAACTACATCCTCTCATTTGAATATAAGAACATAAAATAAAAAGAGCTTGAAATAATGAGTTAACTGCATTGAAATGTAAACATCCCCGAAATGCGCAAAGTAGCTTTGGGCTGTTACAAAATGACGCTGAAATAAATACGTATGTAAATTCTGACATAAGTATATTTTGTAATTAATAAATAAATAAAAACTGTGAATGGTAAAATAAGGTTCCCATTATATATTTTTTGTTTATTCTGGTTTTATTTTATGGGAACATTTAATTATTTGATGGAATATTTTGTAATTATTTAGTAATACAAGTATTTCTTTAAATTTGAATGGAATGGCTCTCCATATCAATAGACCTCAGTCCCTGACAGAATCTGTGCTTATGTCCTTTGTGTCCAGATGTACAGTATTTCTAAACTAAGTAGTTGGGCATTAGGGAGATCGCACATCAGTGATTATACAGCTGGCCATTTAATGTTAGTGTTGGACTTAAAAGGCACTTGCTCCTTTTGTTGTGCGTGAACTCTGATGGGATATATATATATATATATATATATATATATATATATATATATATATATATATATATATATATATATATATATATATATATATATATGCCTTGTAAAGTAGCAAGTAAATATTAATTGATTTTTAAAATTATTTCAGACAAAATCAGAAACAATGGGGTGGGGCGTTTTG